TGTGTGTGTGGGTGTGTGCATGAATGAATGGTTGTTTGACCTGTTTGTCTCTGTGTTGCCCTGCGATGGACTGTCCAGGGTGTACCCCGCCTCTCGCCCGTAGACAGCGGGAGATAGGCACCAGCACCCCTCGCGACGCAACTTGAGATAAGCATGACAGAAAATGGGTGGATAGATGGTTGCATTTCTACATCTTCTCCTGCCTATCAGTCAGGGTCACATTGGGTCTGGTCTCCAGCGGTCTGTGGGTGAAAGGCAGGGTACATCCTGGACTGGTCATCTACAGTAAATATCACCTGAACAGTAGTTAAAATATTTAACAGTTGAGAATCTGCAGCTCACCTCTAATCTGCAGCTCTAAAGCTTTGATTATGAAAGTAGATGTCCAATCCTTGCCAGATTACAGAGGAGCATTGAGTGGCCTTTTCATTTCTTTTATGTGAGAGGTTCAGTGCCTGCTGAGAGATGTAGTTCCAATCTGTTTCTATCTTGTTAGATCTAACAAGGGTAAATAAAGTGAAGTGTCCTTTCTATAACCTACACTAGAAAGTCTTTCTGCTGTGTTTGTCTTTCCAGACCACCTACAGGATAATGTTGGAAAAGAGGAGGACTTGATTGACCAGCAGCTCTGTGAACAGGAGAGGAATTACAGTTTGGATGAAGAGGAACCAGAACCTCTGCAGATAAAAGAAGAGCAAATGGAGCCAGAACATCCCTGGACAAAAGAGGAAACCACAGAGCTCCCCATTAGTGAGAATGAAGAGCATCTTGTTCTGAAGCAGACTGAAGACAAACGAGAGAAACCTTTCCCATGTTTGACATGTGGAGAAACCTTTCTAGAAAAAGAACATTTATTGGTTCACATGAGGTCTCACACAGGTCAGAAGTTTTATGAATGTCCGTTCTGTGGAAAAAGCTTTATTAAGAAATCTAAACTTGATAGACACATCAGAGTTCACACAGGGGAGAAGCCTTTCTCCTGTACAATTTGTGACAAAAGTTTTACTGACAAAAGTTTTTTACCTGAACACATGAGAACTCACACCGGTGAGAAGCCTTTCTCCTGTACTATTTGTGGTAAAAGTTTTACTGTGAAAAGTAGTTTAACTAAACACATGAGAACTCACACAGGAGAGAAGCCTTTCTCCTGTACTATTTGTGGTAAAAATTTCACTGTAAAAAGTAGTTTAATTGAACACATTAGAACTCACACAGGTGAGAAGCCTTTTGAATGTCTCTCCTGTGGAAAAAGCTTCACAACGAAATCTCATCTTAATCGACACATCAGAATTCACACCGGTGAGAGGCCTTTGGATTGTCTATCTTGAGGGAAAAAGTTTCCACTTTGAATTTCACCTTAATAAACATATAACAATTCACACAGGTGAGAAGCTGTTCTTCTGTACTATTTATTGCAAAAATTTTAGTCTTTTGACATTTCACATGAGAACTCACTCAGATGAATTACCCTTTTCTTTCAAGACTTGTACGAAAAGGTTCCCTCACAAATCTAATTGTTAGACACATTAGAATTCAAACATGGGAGAAGCATTTCTCCTGCACAATGCGTGGCAAAAGTTTTACTGTAAAATGCAGCTTGACTAAACACATGACGACTAATGTGAGAAACATTTTTCATCCATGACACATGAAACTTATTTTAATAAGAGAGATTTATTCCTTCACCTAAGAAGTCAAATCAATTTAGCCCTGAAACACTTGTTTTTGACAAAAATCTTAGATTTTGTATTAGTTTTAGTCTTCAGGACGAAAACTATTATTAGTTTTAGCCACATATGATAGGTTTAGTCAGTTTTATGTTGCAATTCATAAAACAGTTAAGTTTACAACTTCAAATAACAACTAGATTCTTTACCAGACTGACAGATCTTGCCTAGATACTACATTTGCTGGGTATAGAATGCTGCCATGCAGTTGATCATTGCTGTTGTGCAGAAAGCTTTGATTTGTAGAATTAAATTAACTTTTTATGAATGAATACCTTAACCTGACAACAGCCAGATGCATGTCTCGCTCCGCCTAGCT